GATGGGGGCAGCGGCTGAGGGGACCCTGGGTGGGGAAAACTGGGGAGGGAGGATTGCGCCTTTGAACATGAAATTGATCACATGTAAATACAATGCAAATGACATGCAAATGAGCACAGGATTTCTCTGAGTCCATAGCTCAGGCATTCTCTTCCTAGGACTGAGAATTGGGGCCAATTTGCATCCAGTTCCATGTTCCGTGCCTTGTTTCTTTATTATTAATATTTTCAGAGGGAGAACACAAGGTCTCACTTGCTAAGCGGGAGAGGAAGCCAAGGTGAGGCTGGGCCCCCTGGGCTCCCTGGGAAAGGGTGAGACCACTCCCTCTCACCGTTGGGAATGGTAGCATCAGGAAAATCGACACGCCTGAGTGACAGTGAGGGAGCTGAGTGGTAGGACTCCTGGGCTATGCACTGAATTGATGGGAATCTGAGAGGCAGAGGCTCAGCAGTGAGGCAGAAAGATGGAAAGAGACAGATCCCCACAGCTCAGAGACAGATAGGCGGATAAGATGAGGATGCCTCACATGTCCTGCGAGGTAAGGCATTGTCATCCTCTCTTCTAGGTGAAGAACGAAATGGCCGGCCCAAGGTTCAGAGAGGTGATGAAATTCCTAAGGTCACACTGCTGGTAAGTGCCAGACCCTCAACTCCGAGATTCCTTGAAAGCTTAGTGATGCTTTCAACCCACCATAAGAGCATCTCTGAATGAGATAAAAATAGAGAACAGATATTCATCTTTTCAGCAGGTATTTATTGAGTACTTACTTGGTACAAGGCAGTGGGCCTGTGCTCAGAAGAGAGAAGACTAAAGATTGATCTCTCAAAATATACAGTCTAGCAAGGTTCATAAGCATTTTAGCAATAAGGGAAACTGAACAGTTGGTGACAAGGGTCACCAGGGAGGTGCAAGCAAAGGGAGGATCAGGGAATGCTTGCAGCGGGAGGTGGCATTTGATGTGAGCCTTGGGGAATGGGTAGAATGTATTCAGTGACAGAGATGGGGAGGGAAGAATGTTCCAGGTGAGGGGGGCAAGATGGGCCATGGCGCAAAGGCAGGAGAGGATGAGGGAGTCAAGCTCTCTGATGTGTGGGAGCACAGAATGTGTGGAGAGGTGTGAGGGAGGTTAAGCTGTGATGGTGAGGGAAGCGGGGGTCAGGACACAAGGGAGCTGGGAGGCCACTCCCGGGATGTGGATGTTACCCGGCTGGAGGTCAGTCGGAAGTAGAGGAGAGGGTAAATCATTCATTCAATCATGAATTCAGTAAATAGAGATTTATTGAACCGCATGCCAGGGCTGCCCTGGTAGCTTGGGATGCCAAGCTCAGGTGAGGTCCCTCCTTTAGGAAGTTGGGTCAGCGGCAGTGTCCTCATCAGTACATGCAGATACGAGAGTATGTCCCTCACGGTGTTAGCGTGAAGATTAGATGGGAGAATCCACATAAAGTTCTTAGGGTGTTGTCTCATCTAGAAGGAACACTCAATAAAGGTTCGTTCTTCTTATCAGCCCCATCACTACTCTGAAAGGTATGGGATGGAGGACAGAGGCAGGGAGAGGGGTCAGCAGTCCACTGCACAACGTGGGGAGAGATGGAGTGTGGCAGCGTGGGTGGGAAGGAGGGGGCAGGTAGAAGGCTGCAGGGACCAGAGAAGACAAGTGACGGAGCCAGAGGCAGGGGCAGGGAAAGCGTGGTCTGGAAACACTGTAGGGGGAGGAGCTGGGCTGGGAAGACAGCCTTGGTCAGGTCCCTGCTCTGTGGCTGGTTTGCTGGCAGGGCAGGGAAGGGGAGGGCCTGGGTGGTGGGTAGGCTGGAAGCTGGGGTTCTTGGGTCCTCTTCCCACTTGGCTACTTGGACCCTCTTCCAGACTCATCTTGACTTTTCAGTTGCTTAATTTGGCTCAATCTGTGGGAGATGCACCTCCCACTCTGCCCGAAGTGTAACTTTCATCCTCCTGCTGCAGGACCTAGCTATCAGACAAGTCCACTTGGCTGTCTGTCTGATATCTGTGTGGTCCCTTCAGGATAATTGCTCTGGACAACTCTAACACCACTCAGACAGATTGTCCGGCCTCCTGGCCCCGACATCTCCCACCACTGCATCAAGCCAAATTACTCAGCCCCCCCAAGCCCCAGGCTCTGGTGAAATCCGATTAGCAAGTAGAGCGCTTCGCTGAGCTGACATCTCCTCCGATAATTGCTTCCCAAGCAAGCGATGCAAATCAGCCCATCCAGCCAGTCCCCGCTCCTCTCCTGGGCACCCAGGCGTCCAGGGCGCAGGAGAGGGAGAACACCTGAGTTGGAGAGACTTTGGAAGCTGTCGCCTGCCTCCAGCTAAGTAAAGGCCACCAATCCATAAAGCTGGTCTGTGCTGCCTCTGGGCTGACGAGGGGGCAGTGGGGTGGTAAGGCTGGGACCGGGGCCCCGCTGGCTCTGCATTTCTGCCTTAATTGAGAAGGCGTCATTCTGCACCTCACTCTCGCCCCTTGGAGAAGAATCCTACGTACCCATTTCCCGGTAAGGTAGATGAAGGCAGAGATACAGAAGACAGAGACAGGGAGATGCCTGAACCTGTTAAGAAATAAATGGAATGGGGCTTCCCTGGTGGCTCAGTGGTTGAGAATCCGCCTGCCAATGCAGGGGACACGGGTTCAAGCCCTGGTCAGAGAAGATCCTACATGCTGCGGAGCAACTAAGCCCATGCACCACAACTACTGAGCCTGTGCTCTGGAGCCCACGTGCCACAACTACTGAAGCCCACACACCTAGAGCCCATGCTCCACAATAAGAGAAGCCACCGCAGTGGGAAGCCCGCGCACCGCAACAAAGAGTAGCCCTCGTTCGCCACAACTAAAGAAGAGCCCGCGCGCGGTAATGAAGACCCAATGCAGCCAAAAATAGATAAATAAATAATAAATTTATTAAAAAAAAAAAAGAAAGAAACAAATGCATGAATTCACAGCTTACCTCCCCTGGTTCTCCAGGTATAGGAAGGAGGTGGGAGCGGGACCTGCAGGACTTACAGATAGCTTTCTCCATTTATGAATCCCCTCCCCACCAGCCTGCGGGAGAGACATCGAGGGTTAAGTCCCCACGGAGCTCTGGGCTGCGGCTGTGATATGATGCATGTTTGGAGGCGTGGAGAGCCTGATCAAATCCTGAGACTTCTGAGACTTTACCAAGGAGGACATGTCTTTGGGATGCAGTGGTTCTTGCTTGCCCCATGCATCAGGGACTCCTCGCCACTTCCCTAATTCAAGGTCCTTTTAAGGGCTCGTTAACGTCTCTTCCTTAATGTCCTTCCTTCCTACAGCTTCCCCTCATCCCATCTCCTGCTGACCTTGGAGGCCTGAAACCACTTTCCTTGCAATCCTGAGCTTCCAGCCCCCAAACCTAGCTCATATGGGTCACTGTTTCTGTGGAAATCTCCAGGGACGAGTTGCCCAGTCTTGTCCTCATGCTTGTGTGTCTGATGTGGCTCTATGGCCTGGATCTGGGGTCCTCAGACTAGCATCTGCCTGAGACCCTGGCACATGGCCATAACAGCAACACAATTAACCTTTATGGAGCACCAGTCCTGTACTACCCACTGTACTAAGCACCTTACGTAATTAAGTCACTTAATTATCACAAAAGAAGACTTGGATTACAATGATTATCCCATTTTACAGTTGAGTTAACTGAGGCACAGAGAAGTTAAATAACTTGCCTCAGGTCACCACTAGTAAATGGCAGAGCTGGGATTCAAATGCAGGTGGTCAGAGTCCAGAGATCACACTCTAAAGGCCTCTGCTACATCGCCTCTCCTCTCCAATGCTCTTTGAATGTTTATTGGGCTGACTGAGAGAGGACAAGTGAGACAGCGCCCACTGTGGTGGGGCAGAGGGACACAGCTACACTGACAGACAAACACCTGAAGCCCTTTGGGGTTCCCAAGGATGCAGGTGGCAGGAGCCAACAGGGTGATACCTGTTACTTGGGGAGTGGGAAACATGACCCTCACCTTCTCCAATCCACATATCTATTTTCTGCACTGGAGCCGTGTGCTAGACAGCTCCCCTTCCCTCCCCTAGAAGCCTGGAGGCAGGGGAAGGGCTAAAGATCAGCCTAGAAGCCCAAGTGATCTGGGAGTCTGAGCTAGGACCTCCAGAGGCCGATAGATGGCGCTCGTGGCCCAATACAGCCAGGCAGCCCAAGGAAACCAAAGGAAAACAAGCCAGCAGCTTAACTCCTTCCCGCCTGGGCTCCAGCCCCAGAAGCAGGCTGGTGGGCAGCTGAGGGCGCTGCCCCAGACCTGGCTGGCCCCTAGGGAGTGACCCAACTCTCTAGGCTCTGTCCAGGCCACAGCCTGGGTCTGCTTCTGCTGCTTCCCTACAAGCTTTATCTGTAAATCCCAGTCAGCCAGCCCCCTGGAGACTTCCCAGAGGGCTAGGAGACTAAGACATGGACAAGGCAGGCTGGGAGGCCCCACCCCAGCCAAAGTTTCATCTCTCAGGGTCCATCTCTTGAAAGTCTATGGATCTCTTTCTAATCACCTTCACTTCGGGAGAGCTCATCACCTCCATCTTCCCTGAGAGGGACTCACCAAGTGGGGAGGAGTAGCGTGGACTAGAGACAGAGAAGGCCCCCAGGGCCCTGCTGGATCAGCTACAGGCACTCACTGGGGGTTGCCCAAGATTCAGTAACTCCCATGTTGGGACTCCCTATCTCTGGGGTCTCTGTCTTACAGGGATAGAAACAGTTATCCAACACTTCCAGGAAGTTGGAAATTGGGGGTGGGGGTCCTGGGGATCTCTGCTTGCCTGTCACTCACTTCACTCATTACTGTCCTGTAAACAGACTTGGAGTGTGGAGGGGCTGCCATGATGATAACCTGATAGTGCTTGGCAGCAAGGGACAAAGGCTGGGGTGGCAGGAGGGTTGTCAAAGGGTTGGTGAGGCTCCTAGAATTTTTTTTTTTTTTTTTTTTTTTGGCTGCACCACGCAGCTTGAGGGATCTTAGTTCCCTGACCAGGGATTGAACCTGGGACCACAGCAGTGAAAGCACCAAGTCCTAACCTCTGGACTACCAGGGAATTCCCTCCTAGAATTCCTAAGCAATGAGATAACACCACCGGTGTGGTTCCCCTTCCCTCACTAATTTTTGTTTAGAAACACACAAATGCATAGATCTATGGAGCTAGAGGAGCCTGAGCAGGGACCTGTCTAGAAGTTCAGGATATTCTTTTATTTTTTTTCTGCTTTGGGTTTCCATTGCTGCGCGCGTGCTTTCTCTAGTTGCGGCGAGCGAGCAGGGGGCTACTCTTCGTTGCGGTGCACGGGGTTCTCATTGCAGTGGCTTCTCTTGTTGCAGAGCACAGGCTCTAGGCGCGCGGGCTTCAGTAGTTGCAGCGCGCAGGCTCAGGAGTTGCGGCGCGCAGGCTCTAGAGCGCAGGCTTCAGTTGCTGTGGCGCATGGGCTTGGCTCCTCCGCGGCATGTGGGATCTTCCCAGACCAGGGATCGAACCTGTGTCCCCTGCATTGGCAGGCAGATTCTTAACCGCTGCGCCACCAGGGAAGTCCCCAGGATATTCTTATTTCACTCATTCCAGAGAAAAAAGCAGAGATAGGGAGGTAGATGTACACAGAGGGAGAGAGAGACACACAGATACACAGCTATACAAGAGACTAGGGATAGAGATACATTTACATAGGCAGAGAGAGTCAAAGACACAGAGAGGGAGAGAATCTGGCACAAATGAAAGCTCAGGAAATAATGGAATTTGTTGAGGTGGATGATTAATTCAGTTTCCGAAGTCTTGCCAGGGTAGGGGTGGTTTCTCACCTGTGGTTCAGAGGCTCACTGCTCATAGTTCCCTGAAGCTCCTCCTGCATCCTTTAAGTTTTTGTCTGCTGGTAGGAGAGCAGGGGAGGCTAGGGAAGGGGGTAGCATCCTTGTTCTCTCACCTCTTCCTGTTCTGGGATTCATTGGTCTCCACCTGCAGGGAGACTGCTTTCCCTGGTCTCAGTCATGGCTGTGCTGGACTATTCAGGGCAGGGGGATGGGAGGAATCTACAAGACAACGGGTCTTATGGTGTTTACAGTCTAATGAAAATATTATAGTCAAGACACAGAAACAGATCCAGAGACAGGACAAGAACAAAGCTAGGAGTGGGACAGCTTTGGATATTAGTATTGGGTTGGGGAGGTGGGAGGGAATGAACTGTTACATGAGGCCATGATATTGGTCTAGGAAGGTGTACTGGACAGAGTATTCGAGGGGGAGGATTGGGAAGGATGGGAGGTCATAGAGCTGGGTAGACAGCAGAGCAGAGTAGGGAGAGAACTGAAATGGTAAAGCCATGGAGACAGGGGTTTGGACAGTAATGGGGGATGCAAGAGTCTCAAAGTCATTACTAAGGAGTTGTTAGAGATGCCAGAAGTGCCTCCGTGGATGATCTATATACAGTCCTTGGAGAGCTGCAAAGGAGAGGTCTCTTATACCTGGGGCAGAAGGAGGGCTAGAAATGGTCTGTAGCCGTCGTTAATATCCTCAGGTGAGTTGAGAGACTGCGGATAGTTGAAGCTCCTTGACAGTCCCTTTGGGAAAAGTGTTGTGGATGAACTTTTGGAAAGGTGATGCCCTTTACGGCTAGAATCCAGGAACTCCAAGATCCTTACAGAGTTTGGCTTCTCACTTCTCAAGTCTGCAGGATTTAGCCCCGCTGTAAAGAATAAACTACAATCCCCAGCGTCACTTAGGGCTAATTTAGCACACCTTCCGGGAATTTTAGTATTTCCGGCGGAAGTGTCCGCAGCTACGCCAATCACCTTCCCTATACAAAGTAGACTACAATTCCCACAGCCCTCCGCGCCCAGGGGCGGGGGAAAGGAACCGGAAACCGGATGGGGCGCTGGACCAGGTAAGGAAGTGGGGGCCTGGGAACTTGGGGCGTTGGGGGCGGGCTGGGAGCTCCACGGGCTCCCCGTGGGTGGCAGGCGGGGAGTCGGGATGTTTGTATTTCGGGGCCCCTCGTTCCGTCAGGGGCGCGCCCGGCGCAGGGAGAGCCGAACCCATGGAGCCGCCCGGAAGGCCTGCGGAGACGAGGCTTTCCCGTCGGGCGGAGCCCGCGGGCGGAGGTCGAGATTTCTTGTGGAGCTTAGCCGTCAGCCCCCTCGGAACTAGGAGGAGAGATGAAATGTTGTTTCGGGGTCCATGCTCCATTATTATTATTGTTATCTTTATTGGCTTAAGGATTTGCTGATTGTCCCTGTGGATTCCTGGAGTGCCCCCAAGGGACAGGGGAGTGGATAGTGTCTTGGATTCCTTATGCACTTGCTGGGTTTAGTGTCAGAGAGCCTGGGTGGCCAGACTTATCGGTGGGTCACCCTCCATTTCCTTCGCACTTAATGTAATATGATACTGTCATTTAGAAAGTATCTGCCTTTCTTAAGTCTGTGGCCCTGGGTGACTTTAGATAGGACATCCAAGTTTCTCCTTTGGTGGGCTTTCATGGTGTTTTGTTCAGGACATTAAAGCTGGAATCACAGTGTATAGCAATTGTTTATCTGTCTTGTCACAGTCATTTATGAACCTGGCTTACATTTTATTCATTTTGGACTCTTCTTCCCCACCAGTGCCTCTCATGTAAGAGACTCATAAATATTGAAAAGTATAAATGAGTTAACAGCTGGTGGTAGGTTGGATGGAATTTGTGATTTTTATTTCATAGAGAAGAGAGGTAGATGACTTAAGAGAACCTTAGAGATAAAACCAGGACTAGAATTTGAGTCAGTTGACACATAGCCTGCCATCCAGTCAGGCTTTGAAATTCTGGAACACTGAAAATAAGACCTTGTCACTCTTTTGTGTACCCCCAGCCTTGCTGTCTTCAGCATGGGTCCCTTGAGATCAAAGTTAGGCTCAACTTAAGGCCTGAGAGAGGTCCCAGACTTGGAGCAGCCAACCTACTAATGTTGGCACTGTGTGGGGAGATGCAAATCAAGGGCCCCTGAGACAATTGAGTTCTCCGCAGCTCCCTTCTCAGCTTTTGTTTGAGTTCAATTGGCCTTGGGTAGCCACCCAGACAGATCAGTTAAAGACTTCTGATATCAGTCTAGGGAAGGATTTCCTAAGTTCGGCCCTGATATTTTTTTTTTTAATTTTTATTTTATATTGGGGTATAGTTGATTTAAGATTTTTTTTTTCTCTCTCTCTCTCTCCCACTTTCTCTAGGCTAGGGTCAGAGAACAGGTTGATGGATAAAGCTGTTGTGTCAACCTTGAGGTCCCATCTCGGGGAAGAGGTTACTCTTGACCTGGGCAAGGGGTTGAGAGGGAGAAGAACCATGGTCCCTGCCCTGTGGGAGGCCCAGATGTGATGGAAACATGACAGAGCCTGGCAAGCCCTCGGAAGCAAGCAGAGGGCAAAGCAGGCAGCTGAGCCTTGAGTGAACTCAGGATGTAGAAGTGGAGAGGAGTCCATCAGGAAAGGCTCCTTGGTAGAAGGTAGTTTTATTAATTTTTTAATTTATTTTGGCCGTGTTGCACAGCTTGCAGGATCTCAGTTCCCCAGTCAGGGATTGGACCTGGTCCATGGCAATGAAAGCCCGGAATCCTAACCACTAGGCCACCAGGAACTCCCAGAAGGTATTTTTAAACGGGGTTGAAAAAAGATGGTATGGATACAGCTGAGCAGGTGTTTGTTGACTGCCTAATAAAAGCTAGGACCTTGGAGCTGTTTAGGAAAATTAAACAGGGTCTCCTCTCTGATCCGCCTCAAGTCTAGTCCGGGAGGCCAGGTGTGAATTCACGAAGAAGCAGCTAACCGTGGTGACGTGCAGTGGTTCTCGGCCGTCACCAACAATCAGCATCCCTTGAAGAAGCCTGTTTAAAATACAGCTTCCCAGGCCCCACGCCAGCCGTACTTGGGTTGGGCGAGGCTGGGGAGGTACAGCAAATGGTGCAGCATCCTGCAGAGGGACGGCTTTACCAAAGGGATAGTTCGAGCTGCATCTGGAAGGAGACGTATGATTTGGATGTGTGGGGAGGGGTAGGGGGCTCACAGTCGTGCTTCACTCAAGGAGTCTGAAAAATTGGCTTTGTAGAAATAGCATGTGCAAGGTTTGGGGAGTTGAGGTAGGAGGGGCATTTTGAAAGTGTGAGTGGAAAGGTCAGTTTGGAACACTGGGTTTGCATGGGAGTGATTAGGAGGAAGATTGGAAGGAATGCCCTCTGTGGGTTACAGAGCTCGCTGGGGTGCTCCCTCTTCCTGCTTCCCCTCTTTCTCGTCCTCTTCCCTTCCCCCTTTACCTCCCCCAGGCCACCCTTTACACACAATATCTCATTCCATTTCTTATATCAGTATTTTCAAGTGGATATTGTTTTTCTTAGTATTTGGGTGAGGAGACCTGAGGCTCTGGCCAGGGTTACCTAGCCTGTAGGAGTCTGGTGTGAGTCTGGTAGTCGTCTCACTCAGCACTGAGGATTCTTGAACGTGGGCAAGAAGCTGGGCTGCGGTTGGGGGGTTGTAGGATTAGCAGCGTGGCCAATGGAACCGTCTAAAGCGAGATGGGTGTGGATGGTGATGCGCACAGCCTCGAGTCACATGGTTTGGGTTCAAATCCCAGCTTCATTATTTGCTAAGTGCGTGACCCTGGGCAAGTTGCTTGATCTTGCTGAGCCTCAGTTCTCTCACCTGTAACGTGGGAACAGTAATACCCACCTCGTGGGGTTGTTGTGCACATCAGTGATGGGTACCTGGCACAGAGCAGTTGCTCACCACCTGGAAGCTATTGTAATCAGCTGTGTAATTAGTCTCTGGGCTGTGGCTGTGCAGCTGCATCCCACCCTTTAGCACTTCGGTTTCCAGGACACAGCCCCTCCTGGCTGGGCTTGTTTTAGGTGCTGAAAGTTTGCCATGTAAATATTTATTGAAAACTTAGGCATGGCCTAGGAACCAGTGACTCAAAACCTGTGCCTGATGGAAAGGAGGTTTGGAGTGGGGGATGGTTGGTGGTTACGGGTTGTGCTCACCAGGTAATATATAAAGAGGGAGGATACTTGAATCCAGAAGAGGAAGGGCCCTTCATTACCAGGAGCTGACATGAGTGAGGGCTTGCCTGGAGGTTGGGGATGACTGACAGTCTCTTTTTCTTTTACTTTTTTTTTTTTTTTGCGGTACGCGGGCCTCTCACTGCTGTGGCCTCTCCCATTGCGGAGCACAGGCTCCGGACGCGCAGGCTTAGCGGCCATGGCTCATGGGCCCAGCCACTCCGCGGCACGTGGGATCTTCCCAGACCGGGGCACGAACCCGTGTCCCCCGCATCGACAGGCGGACTCTCAACCACTGCGCCACAAGGGAAGCCCGACAGTCTCTTCTGAGCCCAGGAAGTGGTAGTAGGGGCCCTGGCCAGCCTGGATCCCTCCCACGCTATGACTGGGGCTGTTGGGGCCTCTGTCCATCTCTTTTCCAGGTGACAGTGGCATGGCTGTGCCCCAGGCTTTCCCGCCGGGGCTCCTCCATGAGGGGGGTGCTCTGGTGGAGCCCCAGCCCTCTCCTCGAAGCTCGGCCGAGGGCTTCTTGGAGGAGGAGCTCCGGCTTAACGCTGAGCTAAAGCAGCTGCAGTTTTCTGAGCCTGTGGGCATCATCTACAATCCTGTGGAGTACGCGTGGGAGCCGCATCGCAGCTACGTGACCCGCTACTGCCAGGGGCCCAAGCAAGTGCTCTTCTTGGGCATGAACCCAGGACCCTTTGGCATGGCCCAGACTGGGGTAAAGAGGTCGGCTTCCTCTGTTGGGTGGAGGGGGAGGCTTCAGGGTGGATGCTTGGCTGCGTGTGCTCTGGGGAGCCTGTGCACGGCTGTGGACGTGTGTGGGACCCCCCGCCCCACACACTGGCTCCTGTGGTCTCAGACACTCTTCCGGCCTCGCTGCCCCTAGTTAACCAAGCACATTAATGGTAGTTCCGCTTCCCCTGTGAGCTGTCCACTAATTGCCTCCGAGAGCCCTTCCTTCCGCCAGCCCCATCCTTTCCTTACCCTGCCGGATCTCCCCTCTCCCTAGAGCGTGCTTGAGTTCAGGAGAGGGACCAGGACTTATGGGGTCCGTGGGGAGACTGGTTGACCGGGGTGGGTAGGGAAGAGATGCAGGACTTTCCGGCAACCCGGGTTCTGCTTCTTAGCTTGAGGAGAGCTTCGGAACAGAGCAGACTCCAGGGCCTGCCTGCTTCCCTTTCAGACCTCCAGATGAGTGACTGCCCCTCAGTGAGGGTGCTCGGCAGGTGGGGGAGGGGAAGAGGCTTCAGGGCAGGAGGCTCAATCGCTTTTATTGATCCCAACTGGGGGCTGAAAGGTGATCCATGATGATCGATGGAAATGACAGCTTGAGGCTTGGGGCTGAGAGGGCACCCAGAGAGCAGTGGTCAGCCCTGTCCTTGTGCCTCCTCTAGCTCTGGCTGCCTTTCTGTCTCGGGCCATCTGTCTGTCCCCTCTGCTACCCATCACGCCCTGTGTGGGACCACATATCCCCCATGCGCTTCCTGTACCTGGTCCCAAAGGCTCGTGGGGTAGAGGCAAACAAATAGACCCTCCTGGACCGCAAGCCACACGAACAATTGGAGAAAGAGGGACAGGCTCAAACCAAGGGCCAGGAATCCTTGTCTCAGGCCCTTGGGTGAAGGTGGTTAGAGTGGGGGGGTGAGTGGGGCACAGCTAGATCCTCTTGGAGGGTGGAGAGGGGGTGGTTGGTTCAGAGCCCAGGTGTTGGGTCTCCAGTCTGAAGCCCTGGTGTGTCTCTCCTTCCCCACAGGTGCCCTTTGGGGAAGTGAGTGTAGTCCGGGACTGGTTGGGCATTGGGGGGCCTGTGCAGACCCCTCCCCAAGAGCACCCCAAGCGACCAGTGCTGGGACTGGAGTGCCCTCAGTCCGAGGTGAGTGGTGCCCGGTTCTGGGGCTTTTTCCGGAACCTCTGTGGACAGCCCGAGGTCTTCTTCCGTCACTGTTTCGTCCACAACCTGTGTCCTCTGCTCCTCCTGGCTCCCAGCGGCCGCAACCTCACCCCCGCCGAGCTGCCGGCCAAGCAGCGAGAACAGCTCCTTGGGGTCTGTGATGCGGCCCTGTGCCGGCAGGTGCAGCTGCTGGGGGTGAGGCTGGTGGTGGGCGTGGGCCGCCTGGCCGAGCAGCGGGCGCGGCGAGCTCTGGCCGGCCTGATGCCCGAGGTCCAGGTGGAGGGGCTCCTGCACCCCTCCCCTCGCAACCCGCAGGCCAACAAGGGCTGGGAGGTGGTGGCCAAGGAGAGACTGAATGAGCTGGGGCTGCTGCCGCTGTTAACGAGGTGAGCGCCCCTGTGGCCTGCACAGGACGTGTTCAAGGTCCCCTGGGTCCTTCGGGGCAAGCAGATGGCTGCGCGCCTCCTGGACTGGAGCAACAAGGTCCCCCTCGGCTTCCTGGTTGCTGGGACCTGCCGCAGCAGTTTGGACACTACTCCTGCTTGCCCTCCCGATTCCTGCCCGCCTCACCTTCCTTTGAGCGTTGCTTCTTTGGTCTGTGGTACCCAGCTCCACAGAGAGCCAGCACCTGCAAACTGCTCCACCTGGAGCCTCTCTTCGGCGGAGAGTGACCTGAACAGTGACTTCCGAGGTCATATTTGCCGTTTTAGAGAAAAGATCCTGCCAGGATCCCCATCCGTCCTAGAACGGCTTCCTTCAGCTCACCCCTTGCCTCACAGGGACCAGGACAAAGCATGGGTCATGGCTGCTGAGAGTGAACTTCTGATGGGAGACTGAGGCTGCGTCAGAGAGAGACAATTCAGTGTGGCAGCGTGGGAATGGCCAGAAGACCTGGATTTCCATCCCAGCTTTGAGACTTGTGAACTTTATGACTTTGAACAAGTTGCTTGACCTCTCCAAGCCTCAGGATCCTCATCTATAAAATGGGGTCCCTACCTCATGGGGCTGGTGTGGGGATTAACTGAGATAACCCTTAAAAGTGCCTTGCGTAGTGCCTGGCACGTGGCTGCTCATTACACCTTTTCTAGCTTTCTTGCCCCCAGGTTGGGGAGGCACTGCACTGCACTACACAGGAAGCCCCTCTGACCCAAAGACCCGGGTGGGGGTAGGGATCTGGGCCTCCACCTGTAGCCTGAGTGACGGGCAGATTCTTGCCCCACCAGAGATGGACTAATGACTTTATGACAAACCCAGCCTGTGATTTTTCCGTCTAAGCATTAAAAGCTCCTAAACCCTTTTGTGTTGGCTCTTTTTCCCTCCTGCATGTCAGGTGTGGTAGGCGGTGGTTTATGTTTTCCCATCTCTTACCTCTTCCTGTTTGCAAAGGGTTCTCTTGGGTAGCTGGGTGTAGTATGAACAGTCTCTAATTGCCTTACCAAAGCTGCAGGGTCTCTGTTAGTGCCCTGTCCAGTGGTTTGTCTGCTACTTGGGGCACTGTGATGGGTGGATGGGAGCCTGGTATCTCCAGCTGACGTCTGCTGAGTGGCTGCCCCTTTAGTAAGGGCTGGGAGAGTATATTCAGTTGGGGGCAGAGACCAGCTTAATAAGGAACACATGGTTGGACTCTAGCTCCTAGGACAGGTCATCTCCAGCTCTCAAATAAGATTTTTTTCTTATTTATTTTTGCGGTACGCGGGCCTCTCACTGTTGTGTCCTCTCCCGTTGTGGGGCACAGGCTCCAGACGTGCGGGCTCAGCGGCCATGGCTCACGGGCCCAGCCGCTCTGCGGCATGTGGGATCTTCCCGGATCGGGGCATGAACCCATGTCCCCTGCATCGGCAGGCGGACTCTCAACCACTGTGCCACCAGGGAAACCCAATAAATAAGATTTTTAATATGTGTCCTCCCCATTGTATAACAAATAGAGTGGCCTCCATTCTTGGTTCTTGGGAGGGAGCCTCTGGATCCTCAGAATTTCCCAGGTGCTGGGAGTTTGTCATCCATGGTGGGACCCTCAGACCACACTTGAGGTTATGCTGAAATTTGACTCAGGAGGGCTGACCATGCCCGAAAGACCAACAGTGTGATTAGAGGGCTGGGGCTTCAAGCCAGGTGATATCAGCCTGCCCTCCAGAGAGGGTAGGCGGGACTGGAGGCTGAGCTCAGCCACATGGTCAATGATTTCAATCACTTATGCCTGCATAATGACACCCTAATAAAGACTCTGGACATGGAAGCTTCGGTGAGCTTCCTGGTTGGTGAACACATGGATGTGTCAGGAGGGTGATGTGTCCTGACTCTGGGAGAAAGGACGTGGAAACTGGGAGCCTGCCAGATCTTGCATTATGTGTTTCTTCATTTGGCTGGTCCTGATTTGTATCCTTTATAATAAAACTGTAATTGTAAGTGGAGTGCTTTCCTAAGTTCTATGTCATTCTAGCAAGTTATCGATCCTGAGGAGGGTGTGGGAACCCTTGAATTTGTAGCCAGTTAGTCAGCAGTGCAGGTGGCCTGGGGACCTCCAAACTTGAAGTTGGCATCTACAGTGAGGGCAGTCTTGTTGGGGGCTCTGCCCTTAAACCTGAGAGGTCTGTGCTAACTCTGGGTGGTTGGCATCAGAATTACATTACAGTTTTGCACCCCTATGTTCCTTAGACTCCTTTCCTCTCTTTCTAAGTAGTTATTGCCCCAGTTAGGGCACTAGAACTGGGCACTGGAATAATTGCACAGAGATAGGAGCCATTGTTCTCTTATGTATTTAGGTAAGGTAGTCAGGGAGAGCTTTCTGGAGGAGGTGGCATTTCAGGTGGCTTTAGAGACTGGGAAAGTTTTGGAGAGCTTAGAGAAGAGCATTGTTCAAGGGCTGGCGAACCCAATAAATAAGATTTTTAATATGTGTCCTCCCCATTGTATAACAAATAGAGTGGCCTCCATTCTTGGTTCTTGGGAGGGAGCCTCTGGATCCTCAGAATTTCCCAGGTGCTGGGAGTTTGTCATCCATGGTGGGACCCTCAGACCACACTTGAGGTTATGCTGAAATTTGACTCAGGAGGGCTGACCATGCCCGAAAGACCAACAGTGTGATTAGAGGGCTGGGGCTTCAAGCCAGGTGATATCAGCCTGCCCTCCAGAGAGGGTAGGCGGGACTGGAGGCTGAGCTCAGCCACATGGTCAATGATTTCAATCACTTATGCCTGCATAATGACACCCTAATAAAGACTCTGGACATGGAAGCTTCGGTGAGCTTCCTGGTTGGTGAACACATGGATGTGTCAGGAGGGTGATGTGTCCTGACTCTGGGAGAAAGGACGTGGAAACTGGGAGCCTGCCAGATCTTGCATTATGTGTTTCTTCATTTGGCTGGTCCTGATTTGTATCCTTTATAATAAAACTGTAATTGTAAGTGGAGTGCTTTCCTAAGTTCTATGTCATTCTAGCAAGTTATCGATCCTGAGGAGGGTGTGGGAACCCTTGAATTTGTAGCCAGTTAGTCAGCAGTGCAGGTGGCCTGGGGACCTCCAAACTTGAAGTTGGCATCTACAGTGAGGGCAGTCTTGTTGGGGGCTCTGCCCTTAAACCTGAGAGGTCTGTGCTAACTCTGGGTGGTTGGCATCAGAATTACATTACAGTTTTGCACCCCTATGTTCCTTAGACTCCTTTCCTCTCTTTCTAAGTAGTTATTGCCCCAGTTAGGGCACTAGAACTGGGCACTGGAATAATTGCACAGAGATAGGAGCCATTGTTCTCTTATGTATTTAGGTAAGGTAGTCAGGGAGAGCTTTCTGGAGGAGGTGGCATTTCAGGTGGCTTTAGAGACTGGGAAAGTTTTGGAGAGCTTAGAGAAGAGCATTGTTCAAGGGCTGGCGAGTAGATTAATGTTGACTTGGCCCAGTTGGGAGAACAAGGTGGAGAGCTAAGTTGGGGCCAGCTTGTGAAAGTTCTTGAATGCTAGACTAATCTTTGAGAATTTGCAGTCCAGTGAAGGAAGTGAGATGCACAGAACATGCACTTAAAACACCCAACAGATGGGGGATGGAGGGGCAAGCCATATAGGAGGCAGTGTAGGTGCAGTGGGGTCAGGAATGGGAAGGGAGGGGATTAGTGTGTAGGGGAGATGTCTC